ATATAGTGTGTGTATAATTATTTTTTTTTAAAGTGGAGATTGTAGAAACATTATGAACAACTATTATCTTATTGGATGTAGATAGATTTTTCAAAGTTTGGAGGAATAAAGGTAATTTTAAGACCGATGATAACTGATGTGTTAATGGTTGGTTGCAGTCTTAAAACAGCTGCACTTAGCTTTATAGTGGCTCATGCAAATGCTTTTGTAATAAACCTCTACATAGTGTTGGTTTAATATCACACAGTTATTTATATAAATTCTATAAATATGAGTGTAAATGTCAACAGCAGTTCTGTCAGAATTAAACTATTTCTTCAAACTGAGGTTATTTTAAGAGCTATGTATAACAGATTATAATTAATAGTTCAAACCTTTTACACAAAACTTCATTTAAAACTTTTTTAGAAAGTAGAAAAAGTAAAAAAAAATAAAGTGTAGAAAAAGTTAAAAACTTTTTTTTCCTTCTTTAATTCATGCCTTAAATATGCTGCAAGAGCCTCTTTTGCAAAGTCTGATGAAAAGGAAAAGGATGAGGAGAACGAGGAAGTTCCACTCAAGCAGTTCCTGAAAGAATCGGCTACTGAGTAACTTGGAAATTACAAGCAGTCCGCTGACTGAGAACATATGTATATAGTAAACTTCATAAATAGTACAATATACTTATTAAATTATACAAAGAAAACAAAGCAGAAAAGTGAGAGAAGGGTTAAAAGGTAAAGAAGGAGATAGGAATAGAGGAGAGAGGGAGAGGTATAAAGAGAATACAAATCAACATCATTGAAGTCTGCCTCTAGACCTGCGGAAAAAAACAAAAACAAAAACAAGACAAAACCAAGAAACCACAACAACAAACAACATATATAATGATACTTATAACATCATTAGAAAGTATTTTATACAGTACATGGTAATAGAAGATATATTTAGTGGCCACCACAACCCAACTGAGTGTATATCTGATGAACACCTGACTCTAAACACCTGTGTGAGCATGTTTGTCACTATAAGGTTCATCCATAAAAATGTTCAACAGTGGATGTGGGGACCCACAGACCCGTCACCACAGGACACGATGGTAACACAGGAAAGACCGGAACCAGACACACAGCGGTCCCCAAGCCCAGAGCTCCGGGAGTCCCCCAATAGGGACACTCGCACCCCCCAGAGAGAGAAGCAAAGGGAAGCCCCGGGCGACCCCCAGTAACTACAATGCAGAAACCCCAGGAGGCTGCAGTGACGAGTCCACAGGCCCCGCCAGCAACCCGCCCCTCCAGAGTAGATCCGGCCATGGACACCAAGCCCCGGGGTAGGAATGTGTGATATGGCATAAAATTCATATCACAATATGTATTGTGAAGGGTGGCGATAATGATATATATCGCAATATGTTTTTTGGTATAAAACTTGTTAAAAAAAAAAGCATAGGGTGTTCTTTTGCCATCATATATTTTGAATTAAGAAAATTCCACCACTAGGTCCAGAGAGTTTTTAAATAATAAACAAATCAAGTATTAGGCTTCTTGCTTGTAGTGCAAAACAGTGCAAAAGATATCAAATGTAGTTTTAGCCATACGTTTTAAACAAAAACTATGTTGTTAACTCTTAACAGTTCCAACAGAGCAGCATTTTACACTGAAAACACTTCATCTTCCAAACCTCTAGTGGGCGACTCCTTCCGCTTTAATGGAGCGCTGACACAAAATGACAGCAACAGGGAGCAGCAGCTGAGGAAGGCTGGCCCAGTGCACCAAGGACCAGGCACCCCGATAGCCCCACACCACAGGCCCGGAGATGCCCCGGCATGCCACCTATGCACCTCCCCATACACAAAGCACCCACCACCGTGAATGTCACATCAAGCCGACCAGCCAGCGCCTCATCAAAGCGAAGCCACGCCCCCGACCGTTGCCATACACCAACAACCACACACACACAACCACAGTTGACCCCCCACTGCCAGAACCCGGCAGCCACCCCAGCCAAAGGGCCGGTCATTGCAACCAGGAACCCTGATCAAAAGATCCAAACAACCCAGGGAGAACCGGAGCACCAGCCCCACCCCCAATCGCCCCCCCAAGGCCCAATGCCCACCCACAGCTCAGACCCCAACCAGGCAGCCTACCCCCCCTCCCCGACCCCAAATGTCAAATGGAGAACAGGGGTGTAAGGAAAAAAAAATATATATATATAAATAATTAACAGGAAGACCAAACTCCTCCCTCCTCCCACCCAAATAAGGTGCAGATGCATGTTGTTATATAATGCGTTTAAAAGGGGGGGGGGGGGGGAGATGAGGCGGCGACCGGCACAGACCCACCCCTCCCCAGAGAGCAGGCAGTGCCCGTTCACCTACCCAACCCTTGCCCAGAACCCTAAATGTCTACATGCTACATATGAGAGTGGGCACAGGTCCCGGAGGTGAGAATGATTGCACATCCCACCCCCTATATGCCACCGTGTGCCCACTCCAGACCCTATATATGCATGTGTCGTGAGAATGTTATATGTGTGTCTAGGTTGTTTAATAAAATTGGGGCCCAGGTCTCCACAAACCATGGAGATGGAGGATCCTCCCCGCAGCTCAGTAGTGCACCTGAACCCCAAGGCCCTGCTTGAGTGGTGGTGTGATGGAGTGGGCGGAGGAAGATGTCGGGATGGGAAGGAAGAACTGAGTTGGCAATGCCCTCCCAGGGGGTCAGCTCCCTCACTGACCCCAATAGGCACCCCCATTCTCCGAGATCTACAAGGGGAGGGAGGCTCCAGTACATCCATCCAGGAGCAGGAGGCAGCCGCACCACCAGGGACCCAGGCCACGGATCGGCACATAGCCCCGAGGACCGAGCCATGTCTACCAATGAATTTGTAACTCTAAATTGTCCCTAGGTGAGTGAGACTGAATTGTTGTTTCTTGTTTGCCTCTCTATGCAACCCTGGTATCCCCTGCCTCTTGCACAGTGATTGGTGGACATGGGCACCAGTGACCCTCACGACCCAGAAAGGACGAAGTAGGTAAAGAAAATTAATGGATGGATATCAGCTAGTGTGTTGGTTAAAATAACCTTAGTTATCACTTTGGGAGGTGTAATCCTATTCTAGCAAGTCAGAATAATGAAAAAATAAAATAAAACTGTAAATCTGGATTAGTTTCCTAAAATCTAACCGTTGCCCTTGATTTTACAAGTTTAGCTGTGTGACACAAAGTGGCCAAATCCTGACTGTTAGCTGAGCTGAGTTTACCTTGGAGGACCCGTTGGAGTACATCAGAATCATGTTCTCAGCGCCCTGTTTCACCTTCAGCTCGATGTCATTCTGTCGTTTGAGGGCTGCAAGGCGGCTGCTGCTGGTGCACATTCGTACTTCACTGTTTGGGGTATCTGGAGTTACGGGGCTTTCTAAGTTTGGAAAATAAAAACAAATTAGCAACATACAGTCATCAAAAATACACACAAAAATCTGACTCGTCGGCTGAACAACAGAGTATACACTCATTTTTTAAACTACAGTCATGCTCCTCAGCAAAATTATATTTAAAAAAAAAAAACTGTCACAAAAAGCACGAATAAAATTTGCTGGTCTCAATTTCTGTAGTTTGATGGCACAAGACTAATTTTAGTCACTGTCTCCCACCCCCCCCCCCCAAAAAATCAACAACTTTTAGATAAATGGTAAAAGGGAGAGACGATGAACTGAATGTATTGTTGCTGGAAAAAAGGCCACATCTGGTTACGAGCCGATCAACTGGTACATCCCCAGTAAAAATGAAAAATCCATGTCATGATCCTTTTGATTTATCCAAAACTACCATCTGTCCAAATAACACAGTGACTCAAAAACAAACAACCTTGTTGTTCACACAAGCATGTGTATTCAGCGTATAGCCACACACGGGACACACAAAGCTAACAACTACTGGATGAGCTGAGGGTTTTGTTGTGTTCCGTCTTAAATTCAAAGGTGAAAGAAAAATCCCTCCCAAACTGATTTATACATCACAGGACAAAACTTTCACACACACACACACACACACGAAGTGAGCAAAAAAAAGCTCTGGGCTTAACTTGTCAGTTTGTTTTCAGAGCTTACATAAATGAATTTGTGCAATTAACGAATTGACTTTGGATACATTAAGTTCCTATAATTATAATTTATATAGTAATCTAATCCTGATGCATGCTCAATAATCCAGGTAGATAAATCTAACAACGTTGAGTCAGATCCTCTGGACGGATTTCTCCTTTGTTGAAACATTTAGTCTTTTAACCAAAAGACTGACTGAAAAATTATTTTGGATAAAAGATTTTTGCCAGATTTTAAATAATGGTCTGATCTGAACAAAGCTTATTTAAAGACTGGCATATCTGTGGGCAGCACTGCGTTTTCCCACCTCTGACAACTTAACCCCCACAACAAAGGTGACTCATACAGGAACAGATTTTTTTAATACACTACTAAAAAACTCAAAGGAACTTGACCAAAACACTATACTAATAATAATAATAACAATAATAATAATAATAATAATAATAATAAAAACAGTATCAAATTTATCGGGAATATCTGCAAGATCTGAATTCTTATCTTTTGGAGCCTTACATGTTTAATTGGTTATATTTTTAAAAAAAAATCTTAATTTAAAAGAGAAAACAGGTACATTTACACTTAAATTTACAGCTTTCAGTAAATTGTAACACAGGTAAGAAGGCAAACTGATGCACGTCGTTATCTCTGGGGATAAATCAAAGCAAGAACTGTTCTTTACTTTCTTCACCTAAATTTTGTAGATTGAAATGTGTATGAATATTACAGTGCTGTAATTCATAAATCTGTCATCAGCAGAATTGATATCTGAAGTTTAGTGTTGGCTACTTGAAAACCCAATTCAGCTGACCTCTAATAATAAATATCAATCCCACTGAATGTGTTGAAGCCTCTAAAAATGACACTTAAACTATAGGGCTGCCACGAATAGTGTGACTAATACACAATGTGAAAATAGTTTGTTGACATTAATATGTTTAGTCGACATTCTGATTCACATCAGGTCCTCTGGACGGTTTCTTTGTGTTGAAACGTTTTGTCTTTCATCCAAAAGACTTCATCAGTCCGAGGAGCCTCATCAAATTCTTGTGGAACAAAGTGCAAATGTTACAGAAGGTTGAAGCTGAACTGATTTTCAGTAAACCTATTTGTTGTATAAAAAAATTTAGTCTGCAGAGCTCAAGTCAGTCATAAAGGAAAACTAGAAAACATGGTGTTTCACCCATTAGGGGCTTTCCTTTCTGTGTGGGGGTGTGGTTTCATTTAGCCAACATCAAGCCAAGAATGAAAGGACCCCCACCCTCAGATTAGACCAGGCTGGACTACAGGATAACACAGAACTACCGAATAGCAGCAGGGATGATGTCACTGCTGGACAGCTGAGTAGGGGAACCCTTCCTACACGAATCCAATCTGTATCTGATGCAAAGACAAAAATGACTAACATGATTATCCAAGCAATGACATCATGGATGGGTGACTCAGACCTAAATCTGTTTATCTCACCAGAGGTGCCGAGTGGTTGAAGCGAAAGCAGCTTCAACGGCGCGGATCCCGTGCAAACTGTCTTTACGAATGACATCATACGTGACAAAGAAACCTGACTGATGGTTGCACTGAAGCTGCTAATTTCCAGTAACTTTATTCCTGGCTTCAGCTGAGTGAAGTGAAGAAGAACCAGACCCCCATCAACCTGTTTCTGGAGCAAACGCACATCATGGCTGCTTGCAGAAGCAGAGCGACTCCCTTTTACTAATTCGGGAAACAAGTGCCGTCTCTTGTGGACTCAAGAGCTGAGCATAATTCAAGAAGTTGTTTCATGTCTGAGCAGCAGAGGTTCAGCCCCTCTTCATCTTTTAGCCATGACCAGCAACATTCCACTGGAATGGCGTCACCTAAATAGAAAGCTCCTTTTCCACTAAATAGGAGGTCACAAAGTCAGGCTAAACTTGTTTCCACTTAAGATAACAATTTAGCAAGACAATCTGCCTTCCCTCTAAGAGCATGCACACACATGCACACATCTCTCCTCAACTACTTCCTAAAACCAACTGAACCGAGGGAATGTGATGGCAGCAGGCAAGCAAATAATATTAGTTTGCTTCCTGAACTCATTCAGACAGCTGCCACCAACAACTACCCCATAAGGCAACAGCTGGAACAAAAGGGATACTGAAAGCTTCCAGCTGTTGAGGTTAACCTTCTTCAAATTCCACTGTTGTTAGCAAATGCACAGGAGAGGATTTTCAACAGCCGGAGGGGAACAATCGACAGCTCATTGGAACCAACGCAGGAATGTGGCGCGCAACAATGTCAGCCTCTGGAGTGAGTCACCTCCAAACACTCAGTGTGGACATTGTGTGTTTGTATTTGTGTGTTTATATAGGTGTTCTGAAACCAAAATAATTTACTTAGTCATGCAGTTTACACAAAAAATACCAGCTAACAGTCTAACACAACAGAGAGACTCTAAACAAGAGTGGAACTCAATTATCACTGTATGTTTAGCGGTTTTTACATTTATTTTTAGCTGCATGTAAAACATACAGGTCAGAAACTGTAAAAATTACAACAGAGGCGGTGTTTTTGTCTCTGTGATTACCTAGAAGTTCTTCTGGGTCCTTGACCACAATATGTGCATTCAGTTCTTGTAGCTCCTGGTGAAGCTCTACAACCTTCTTGTTAGATTTCTTGAGCATGTTGTCGACATAAGCCAGGCTCTTTTTGTCTGTGGTAACCTGAGGAGAGCAGACATGACGGGTAAAGTCAGCATTACAGATTCAAATTAAACTAAACAGGTCGTACGTATAAAGCTTAGATTTCTGGTGTTAATGAGTCTTCTGCCACTGAAAGAAAAGTTTAATTTGGGACACCAGTAGAGCCTCGTCATTCATGTATTTTCATGTCTTAAAGGGAATTAAAGGTTTTGTTTTGGTCATAAAGTGAGGTTCTGTGCAAAACTATGAAACATTATCTTACTGGTGTGGACCACTAATAATTTTTCTCAACACGTTTATGTCAGCAGAAATATTCCCTAATTATTCCCTAATATTAGGAGCACATAATCCATAATTGCTCCCCGGATGCTGACATAACTGCCCGATGTTCCACCTGGGTGCCTCTCATGTGTGATGGGTTAAATGCAGAGAACTAAAATAATTTCATCATTGTATGGGAACATGCAATGATGACAACACATAGCAAAAAAAAAAAAAAAATAAATAAATAAAAAATATATATATATACACACAGTGAGGAAAATAAGTATTTGAACATCCTGCAACTTTGCAAATTCTCCAACTTACAAATCATGGAAGGGTCTGAAATTTTCATCTTAGGTGCATGTCCACTGTGAGAGACATAATCTAAATAAAAACATAATCTAAATAAAAAATAAATTTAAAAAAATCAGGAAATCACAATTAGGGATGCACCGATCCACATTTTTTTACTTCCGATCCGATCCCAATACCTAACTCTGAGTATCGGCCGATACTGATCCAGTTCCGATATCATGATCATTATTGATTTTATATGAGGCTGTAATAATCTCCTCTCAAGTACAATTTGTACAAATACATGCATGCATGTCCAAAAAGGCAACTTGAGGTAAGTTTTATTAATGTTGGATAAGTTTTAAAGTTAGAATTAAATCCTGCTAACACAAAACATGTTTTTTTTTTTATCCTAGTTTTAAAGTGGATATTAAAGTGATTTACTTAAGTGATTGTTTAGTTATTTTATTTTTAATAAGGGGCAGATATAAGATTTTTTTCTTCTTTCTGCACTCTTCTCATTCAATGTTTTCTTTTTGATGATTTAAAAAAAAAAATTTGTTTCATTTAAATGAATGAACAAATGAATAAAATAAAATGTTAAATGGCTTCAAACATCTGCTAAGTTCATGACATAAACCAACAGACATGTTCCTGTTTTTAGTATTTTACATCACTTTATAATGTAGCTGTTTTTGTTTTTAATATAATTTTCAAATCATATGTTTTTTATGATTGTTTACTGTTGTACTGATAAATATCTCCTGGAGGGTAAACTATATATTGACTGTAAGTATCAAGCTGAGAAATCCTTCGTTTTCTACAACTGATAGTGGTTGGTCATTAATTATGATGAAGTTTAGCAACTTCTCTGTAAAACATTTGAGCTCCGGGGCTTCAGCGAGGTCTTCTTCTTGTTCAATCCGAAGCAAGCAGTCTGATTTGGGGCAGCCGTGCTCAGTCTGTCCCTCCTCGGAGACGGGCAGACTGGGCGGGGCAGATTGGACGAGGCTGGCCGAGGTCGAGTCGCCTCTTTCCGCTTTGACCAAAGAGTAGCGCCCCGCTGAAGCCACGGAGCTCGAATGTCCATCGTAAAACTAACTTTAACGTGGTTTAATGTGGCGCTATGGCTCTGCAGACATTGCACGTTGCTGCATTGCTTTGTGGTGTTTAGTGTAAAATACTTCCACACAGCGGACATGTTTAGATGAAAAGTGTGTTAGCTGTTAGCCACAGTGCTGCTAACTCAGTCCTCACGTTGTAGCTGGCTGCAAACTATGAACTGGATTTCCTAAATGTGAGGCGGGTCTTATTAATCTGGGTTCATGACACACGCCGCCGTTCAGGAAATCCATTCCATAGTTTGAAGCCAACATCCAACATGGATCGGAAATATCGGCAGGAGGATCTGAAAAACCGATACGTAAATTATGCTGGTATCGGAGGCCAATACCGATACTGGATCGGATCGGCCCCCATCCCTAATAACAATGTATGATTTTTAAATAATTTATTTGTGTGTTACTGCTGCAAATAAGTATTTGAACACCTGCCAATCAGTAACCATTCTGGCCCTCAAAGACCTATTAGTCCGCCTCTAAAAAGTCCAGCTCCACTCCACTTATTATTCTAAACTAGAAGCACCTGTTTAAGGTCTTTAGCTGCATAAAGACACCTGTCCACCTCACACAATCAGTAAGACTCCAACTACTAACATGGCTAAGACCAAAGAGCTGTCCAAAGACACCAGAGACAAAACTGTAGACCTCCACAAGGCTGGAAAGAGCTACAGGGCAATTGTCAAGCAGCTTGGTGAAAAAAGATCAAGTGTTGGAGCAACTATTAGAAAATGGAAGAAGCTAAACATGACTGTCAATCTCCCTTGGACTGGGGCTCCATGCAAGATCTCACATCATGGCGTATCAATGATCCTAAGAAAGGTGAGGAATCAGCCCAGAACTACACGGGAGGAGCTGGTCAATGACCCGAAGAGAGCTGGCACCACTGTTTCCAAGGTTACTGTGGGTAATAAACTAAGACGGCATAGTTTAAAATCATGCATGGCACGGAGGGTTCCCCTGCTTAAATCAGCACACATCCAGGCCCGTCTTAAGTTTGCCCATGACCATTTGGATGATCCAGAGGAGTCATGGGAGAAAGTTATGTGGTTAGATGAGACCAAAATAGAACTTTTTGGTCTTAAATACACTTGCTGTGTTTGGAGGACGAAGAATGATGAGTACCATCCCAAAAACACCATCCCTATTGTGAAGCATGGGGGTGGAAGCATCATGCTTTGGGGGTGTTTTTCTGCACATGGGACAGGACAACTGCACTGTATTAAGGAGAGGATGACCGGGGCCATGTATTGTGAGATTTTGGAGAACAACCTCCTTCCTTCAGTCTGAGCATTGAAGATGGGTTGTGGCTAGATCTTCCAACATGACAATGACCTGAAGCACACAGCCAGGAGAACCAAGGAGTGGCTCTGTAAGAAGCATATCAAGGTTCTGGAGTGGCCTAGCCAGTCTCCAGACCTAAACCCTATAGAAAATTTTTGGAGGGAGCTCAAACTCCGTGTTTCTTAATGACAGCCCAGAAACCTGGCTGATCGAGAGAAGATCTGCTGCAGTGTGAGCAGACCTGGTGACAAACTACAGGAAACATTTGACCTCTGTAATTGAAAACAGACACTACTGTACCAAATATTAACTTTGATTTTCACAGGCGTTCAAATACTTATTTGCAGCAGTAACACACAAATAAATTATTTAAAAAAAATCATACATTGTGATTTCCTGATTTGTTTTTTAGATTATGTCTCTCACAGTGGACATGCACTTAAGATGAAAATTTCAGACCCCTCCATGATTTCTAAGTGGGAGAACTTGCAAAGTCGCAGGGTGTTCAAATACTTACTTTCCTCGCTGCATATAATAAAAAAAATTCCCAGCTACTCCCTTCTTCAGGGGTCGCCACAGTGAACTAAATCGCACAAAGATTTGGCAATGGGTTTTACACTGGATGCCCTTCCTGATGCAACAACAGACCACCGAGCTACCACAGCCTCTGTGTGGAGCAGAGAGCTGCTATCTAGGGAACCCGGGGAAGCAGATGGTGGGGGTTAAGGGCCTTGCTCAGGGGCCCAGAGTGGGGCAGATGAGGGTGGAGGCAGGTGTGGGTGCTTCACCATCCCACCCACATTTTGATGCTGTTGGTACCGGGAGCTGAATCAGCTATCTTCCGATCACAGGCCCACCTTCTGCTGCCACTATTTGGGCTTGGAAATACCATATTTTCCGGCGTATAAGTTGCAGCTTTTTTTTGTTGCATAATTTGTCAGTCCTGCGATTTATGCACCGAAGTGACTTATGCCCGTTTTTTTCCCAATATTCATAATGTAATTTTTGACTGACTTAAATTTTGAAGAAATGCAACAGCGAGTTCTCCCGTGCCCGCTCGCTTCACTCAGTTGGTGCAGGCGCAGTAACGCTGGACAGCTTGCGCCTCCGATGGATGGATGATGGATGGTTGGATGAATGGATGGATAGATGGCGCTGTGCCACCCAGGCAAAATTAAGCTGTTTTGACCATTAAATAAATGCATGATAAACGCGGTGGATCAGCGGTGACGCATAATAAATGTGACTTATATGCCAAAGGGACTTATGTTTTTTCTTATTCATGATGCTTTTTCGACTGATGCGACTTGCACTCCAAAGCGACTCATATGCTGGAAAATACGGTAAACATAATTCTATGTAAATAGACATACATTGCAAATTACTGAAATGCAAAGTCCTATGAAATATCTAGGGTCCTATTGTTTTACAATGCAGAAAACACAAAGATTTAATTGGACATAAAAAAAATGGAATGCATTGTAGACTGTCAAACGAGGCACAAATTTTTAATGTGAACTTTTTTCTACGGTTTATGGCTATCGCAATGAACGTGACTATTCTGGCTGAAGTAGACTCCTGTTGTAGCTGATAAGAGGGGATGGTGGGGACATGAAACACAGAGAGCAGAGGCAAAAAATCTGCTGTATCCATTTAAAATTAAAAGGAGCAAGCCAACGTTACCTTAGCACTTTAGCTAACTCAACCACATGAAGACATTTATTGTAGCAAGAAATGAATGTATCTAAGACTTTGTAGCTGTATGTGAGGAATTAAAGAGGCACTTTAAGAAAACATAAAAATATGTGTTATCCCAGCTTTGTCTGAGTCTTCAAACTGTGAAATGGATTTCCTGAATGGAAGAGTGTCTCATGAAACCCAAAGTAATAAGACCCGCCTCACATTCAGGAAATCCATTTCATAGTTTGCAACCAGCTACAACGTGAGTAGAGCAGCACAGTTGCTAACGGCTAACCAACTTTCCATCACAAGATGTCCGCTGTGTGGAAGTATTTTACACTAGAAACACCACAAAGCAAGACAACAACATGCAATGTCTGCAGAGCTGCTGTACTGAGAGGAGGAAGTTCCGTTGAGACCTACAATACAACAAACTTAATCAAATATTTGAAAAAGCACCACATTAAAAAGCACAAGGATTGTTTAGCCAGGCAGGAGAAAGACGAAAGGAGCTGGCAGAAATCACTTCTGGAGTTGTTCCAGCAGCAAGGTAAACTTCCACTGGACAATGTGAAAGCTAAAGGGATTACCGAGAAGTTGCTGAACGTCATCGTAATTGATGACCAACCAATATCAGTTGTAGAAAACTTAAGATTTTGAAAACCTTGATTTGTTGCTCCTTTTGCATTTTATTTGGAAAGAGATAGTTGTTACAGAAGTTGACCCTTTATGTTCATCTGTCCTGGTTTTAATAAATACTGACAGTCAATCTGAAACCCTTACAGTTGCGTATTTATTTTAGGCATTGGATTTTTCCTATTAACATGATTTCTGTTTTTTCTGACTTCCTTTTCTGACCTTATACATGCCTCAAGTTGCTTTTTTGGACATGTATGAGTATATATGTACAAATCGTACTTGCCTGTAGAGGAGTTTATTACAGCTTCATATAAAATCAATAATGATGATGATATCGGAACGGTATCTGTATCAGCAGATATCCAGATTTAGGTATTGGGATCAGAAGTAAAAAAAAAAATTAAAAAAAAAGTGGATCAGTGCATCCCTAAGCTGAACACTGTCCATACAGTAAAATAATAAAAGTCATTGTCAACAAAACAACACAACAAACACAGCAATATTGTCACATTATATTTTATGTACTATAATAGTGTAATTTTTAAGTTTATATGTGAAGCACTTTTACAAAAGAGAGAACTGTTTCATTACTCATTGTTAAAATGTGTTGCAATAAATTGCTCATATTCATATGCATATTGAATATGAGCGGGACAATTTACAGGCACAATGAAATATAATTTCAGCTCTTAGATATGAAAGAAAGGCAGCTGTGAACAATCTATACTAAAGTATTAAGTGCTACTTGTACCTCCTTAAAACAATCATAAAATAGTTAATACTGTAAAATGGTTATTGGTATTACTAGGGCTGGGCCATATCATATCGTTCACACGATAATACCGGTAAAAAAAGGCTTGCCTGGGCAAATAAATGATATCACGATGTGCCAATTTCATGACGCAATACGTTAGGGCACACCGCCCCTTTTAACAGAACTGAGCGCGCCGAATGACCAAACCGAATTGCGCACCCCCCCCCCCCCCCCCCCACCTGTCTGTGCTGGTGTAACGCTAATTAGTTGTGCGCAATCCTAGCTAGCTAAAAAGCTAAAAACAACTCAACTGTCTCTCCCCTCCCCCCCCGCTGCTGGTGCGGGCTGCGTCTCCCCCGCTCTAAATTGCCGGTACAAACACGCGCAGGTCTGTTTCTTGAGTTCCACAGTCCATGGACCAAGAACAGAGTCAGGTGATGAAAGACAGAGCATCAGAGAAATGAATCATTCCTGCAGGAACAGAGGAAGCTGAAACTCCACAAGCTTCAGAGTCAGCTGATCACCTTGTTACAAGTTCTGGAAGTTATAGCTCATTTAAAGGAAACATATATTTTGTTGTATGTTACATTTATGCTCAACAGATCTTAAGCTTAATTTTTTTTTAAGTTATTTTGGGAGACTTCACCTGCACTTTAGTTTTTGTGGTGGATTTTGTTGATCTATATTTTGTGCAGACTTTTTCAATCTAAATAACATAAGGGTCATTTTTATTTTTATACTTGGGAGATTGAGTACTTTACTAAATAAATTAATTTCAGTAAAATGACCCCTTTCATTAATTTTATATTTTATACAATACTGCAAAGCAACATGTTAATTTTGTCAAATAAATAACTATGATTTCTAGTTTTTATTTTTGGTTATATCACAAAAAATATTGTTATTGTCAGAATGCTCTGAAATATCACGATATTATATTTGAGCCATAACGCCCACCCCTAGGTATTACCTTGCGCAGGTTCTCCGCTCCTTCCTTGATCTTTAACTCCTTGCGGATCTCGCGGCGGATCTGCTCCTTGATCTCATCCAGCTTCTGCTGGACCATCGTATCTGACAGGTCCAAGTTGTTACCCAAACCGAGTCTCTCGGACACCAGCTGGCCCCTGGTATCCCCCTGTTGGAAACAGTGAGGAAAGTATTTAGGAATCACGAGTCATTAGGGGTCAGCAAGGGAGAAGGAAGACAGAAACAGGATGAAGAAAGACTCAAAAGACCAACATGCTGAGATTCTGCATTTATTATGAACTAAAAACAAAACTCTTCATTAAAACTAAAGCCTTTTAATAGATTACAGAAACCGAATATATTACTACGAGATCCATTATCTTGTCAGAATAAAAGATCAGATCAGCAATAACGCATCTCCTCTCAAATGAGTTAATTTTTCTGACTGTCTTTGCTGAAAACTTGATTTGCATTGCATTTGCACCAATTCTATGTTCACAACTTTGTTAATTTTGTAAAGGCTCAAAACCATGAGTGACGTATCACTTTGTTACATGCAACAGAAACCGCTTGTGTTCTTGATATTCACCCCATCAACACTGTGAAAAGACCATCCACATTTTAGCTGAATGTTTACATGCAGTTTATCTTTACACCCAAGGGTAAATAAAGGAACAAAATAGCCTGAAAATGGCAGTAAAGGCCAACAGACATGTCTCATTTTACTTGAGTTGATTGACAGCACATACATCCCTTTAATGATGTAATCTCACTGTGATTCTGTTATCTGCTGCTTCTGTCATGTTCACTTTTTGTTAAAAAGTTTAACCTAAATAGTAAACTATCTGGTTTTCCCACTTCATTTGTTAACATCTAAAAACCTGCTGTTCTCTTAAGAGTAATCTTTTATGAATTTTTAAAATATTAACAAGATTTTGTTACAATTTTGACATTAAAAGAACAAAGGTCAGTAAAATTACTTGTATGAAAGTGAATCAACAAAAATTCAAAAATCATAATCAAGTGCAGATTGAACCAAATTACCATGTTCTTTAAAAAAAATCAAATCAAAGCATGTCAACTTATTTGCAAAGTCGTGTCATTTTTCCAGTTTAGACAGACGTTTCATTAAAACCTCCGGTTGATTGTCCTTAAAAAGATTAAAATTAACCAGACCTAGCCTGAAATATTTTCTACGCTTTATTTATTTAAATGCCTGTTGAGTATTCAGCATCTTCGCTTATCAGCCCTTGTCTGGAGTGGCTGAAAAAGCTAATTACTTAGGCGATCTCCTGACTGAAGATGACGCTCAGAGACTCAGCACTGTTTGTCCAACATGAGAACTTTGGCGTCACTCAAACACTGCAGACTTGAACTCAGGCTCGCTCTAATATTTGCTTTCACCGCTGCTCTCACTCACCAGTGACCTGCATCCTTAAAACCATCACCTCAACTTAAAGAGGATTAGTAGTAACTTCCTAGTTGCTGCAGCTTTAGGGATCATTGTGAATTCACGGTGATGGTCAAACAGTTGCATTTACATCTTTCAAATAAAAAACATAGTTCACCAATACAATTATTTTTGACTTGGTAATATTTAAAATTTAAAGTAGTTAGTATATCCTTTTGGTTAAATAATTATTATTGGTTACATCTATAAGATATTTATACAAACATTACTCTGTTTAGCCTATAACATGCAAACAGAAACTCAGTTTCCAAAAATTCCTACCAAGCGAGTGAAAAATGCTAAAACATTCTGTTGAACTGTTCCACACTTGTACCTAAAGCCGTGACAAGACATACTGTACATCACTGCACTGTGACAAGATCTGCTTAGTTTCACTTTACAAAGATAAACATTTAAATCAACCAGCTTCAATTCAAAGAGCTAAAAGAAGAGTGTAAGTGTAAGACTCTAAGATTTCCTAACTGTTCTATCATACCTTAACTTCATCCGTTTCAGCCAAATCCATCTTCAGATCAGTTGAACAAACCAGTTCATGCATGTTATTCTGACCAGCTAAACCATTTACACATTAAGTTCTGAGGTCTAACAAGTATCTGCATTCACATTGTTGAGGGTACTCCAGTCAAGGCTCTGCCCACAGTCTTTCACTCAGCTGCAATCCTCTTTCCCCCACCTCTCTCACTTTGCGTTTTCTCACACAGACCATTGACAAACAGGAAAACTAAAGCGTCAGAGCACAGACAGCCAAATCCCTCTTAGCTTCTCGCTCTGAGGTCAGAGCAGCCCAGAATGGGATATAATCTCACTCCAGGGAGAGGACTGCATTTAAAATTAACACCAAGTTAAATTTAGTGGCAGTCTTCGGCTACTTCCTCCCCAGAGAGCAACTTGTGTGATAAAGGAGACACTCAAAACACACCACTAAAACTCCAAGAGGTGTTAACGCAAAGCAAAATAAGAAGCTTATGCATTCTGTTAAGGTAGATTACATTGGATGCTGCTCATCTTGTGTCATTGCTGTAGGCGTGTCGCTGTAAAACACCAACTTCCATTCATATTTACATCGACTTGATGAAGGACCGTGCCCACTTCCTCTCTACTGCTGGCTTTAGTCCAGCCGGGTGGTGAACGTAATGCAGCTGCAGTCACAAAGCCTTGAACTTTTCCACATACCAATAGTCACGTTGTAACCACAAACTTAAGTGTTTTACTTGGATTTTCTGTGACAGATTACCATAAAGTAGCTCATGATTGTGAAGTAGAAGAAAAATGACATATGGTTTTAAATTTTTGCAAATACAATTTGAACAATGTGGCATGCATTTGCATTCAGCCTCCTTTAATCTGATACTTTTAATTAAAATTCAGTCCAACCAAATGGCCGAGATGGTAGAGGCAGGACAGCCGACTCAGGACCTGAAAGTCCCAGGTTCGATCTCCAGTCATTGCACATCTCGTGGTGTCTCTGAGCAGGACACCCTATCCCCAACTATTCCCCAGGTGCCTTCCATAGCTGCCCACTGCTCCACCCAGGGGTGGATGGGTTAAATGCAGAGAGACAATTTTGCCATTGTATGGGAACATACAACGATGAAAACACATAACGCATTATTGTTGTTATTATTATTGTGCTTTCCTTGCCTAATCAGTAAATGGAGTCCACCTGTGTGTAATTTAGTCTCAGTAAAAATCCAGCTGTTCTGTGAAGGCCTCAGTTTGTAACAGACCTTTAGTGAAAAAGCATCATGAAGATCAGGAAACACACCAGACAGGTATGGGATAACATGGTGAGAAGTTTAAAACACGGTTCGGTTTAAAAACAAAGTCCCAAGCTTTAAACATGTTACAGAGCTCTGCTCAATCAATCATCATTAAATGGTGAGGAGTAAGGCACAACTGCAAACCAACCAAGACATGTTTATAACGGGCGGAGTTTATAATCCATTTTTTGACCCATAAGAATATATAAAACATTCTGAATCAATTTTCAAATGACAAAATTTTATTTTAATCTGCGGTGTCACGTTAAGAGAGTCATCAAAGTAGTTGCTGAGCAATGCTTTGTCCTAGTAGAGATGCTGAATCTGCTGTAGTTGAAACATGGTAGTGTTTTTGCATTTTTCCATATTTTATTTACTGAACCCAAGGATATTCTGTATGTCTAAATAACAGCTGAAGTTATGACTGGCTTTAGTAATTACTGAAGTGTTTGATTTGTGCAGACATTTTAGTGACAAACATGCTAATCACAAGATTTTCTATAGCTTTTTCAAAGTTTAGTTAACATCTATGCTACTGTACCTGTTGGTCAGCAGTTTGATATCAATAAGGTTCTTTTTCATACTATTTGTTATTGTTCAGGCTTGATTATGCATAAACATATAAAATTAATGTTTATTTATGTAAAATGATTCATAATCATGTCAGTTCTTTAAATTTTTATTTCTATTCCACAATGCTTTGGATATGTCATATGTCAGGCATGTCTCTGCGTGAGTGCAGCTACGGCGTGCACTCTCAGGACATTATTACCTGCAGTGTTCCCTCAATGAGGACTGAACTAGGCAAGAGGGCCTTCTCCTACTCCGCTCCTGTTTCCTGGAATACCTTACAAAAACAATTGAAGCTCTCGACCTTGACCTCTAAGTGGCTTTAAGAATCTGTTGGACTCCTGGCAGGGACCAATGCAGACATGTTCCCGTTTTTAGTTTTCTACATTCGCCTTAGAATCTAGCTGTTTTTGTGTTACCTTTTTCTTTTAGCCATCCCATTTGTAAAAAAAAAAAAAAACCTGGAGTATGACTTTTTATAACTGATTATTGTTGTTGCCGTTGTCCATTGTTATCATCATTCTTTGTTGAAATCAGGTCTCTCTTGTACATGAGTCCTCGAGGCTCAATGGGATTTACCCGTCTAAATAAAGGTTGAATGAAAAAAAAAAAAACATAAGCCTGCCAGCTGCATCCAGGCATTTATTTACTGTCCTGATAATCGCAGATAACTGAAAATAACAAAAAATAATTTGATAATTGCATCATAGCCCTCTGAAACGTAATCGAGTCATGAGGTGCATAAAGATTCCTATTCCATATGGCTGCCAGTGCCAATCTAATCTGACAGGCCAGGCAATGAGAGCATTTATCCAAGCAGCAGCCTAGAAGGCCATGGGGAAGCTTGTATTATGAAGCAAGTTCAACATATCCAGGGTTTCTTTAAGAAATCCAGTTCAACTAACCCCAACTATAGCTTTCACACAAAACATTTATTGGGGCTTTTAGAGGGTTATAAGAACTGTTTAACTAAGTTCACACTGTGCAATTTTTTTGTCAGTGATGGACAAAATCTTTTCTTGTTAAAGAATCTTAAAACCATTTTGATAGTGAGCTTGAATCTGTGGTTGTTCATTGTGACAGAGACAGTTTAGCACACTCGCAACCAAAAACGACCTGTGACCAATATGAAGCAAGGTGATAAAAGTTCTGGGGAAATTGTTCTGTTTAACTATTGCTTAACCAACATCTTTTTCCCCAGTCACATCCACAGCTGTCTCTTTTTCCTCCTCCTCCCTTTTCAAGAGGATCACAACCAGCTCTTAATTTTAATTTATTACTGGAATGATATCTCTGCCAGTTATTTGATTGTGATGCAAAAAAAAAAATTCAGTTCAGCATTTATCAAATCTTACTTTGTACAACATG